CAGCCTTTTCATTAGTAAAATTGTCTTTTGTGATAATAAAAACAATAGACTTTTCACTCATATTATATGTCATGTTAGAAAAACACTAATGTTTAATTAAAAGGTGCTTTGACAACACTCAATGGGAAAATCAGTGGAAAATTTCAGATGACCCACTTAACAAAATTAGAAGCACAAGTATCCGAGAACTTCCTACTAGTTTCCTGAGTGCAACTTAAGTACCAATCATTTTGAAAAGCACTGCAAAAATTAAAGTCTAATCCCTTGATGCTTTACTTATTCTCAGTTTTGTGAATATGCTCACTACTGCTTTAAAATTTTAGTACCCATATCTGATATCTCAACCATCTAATTAGATTTCAATCTTGTACAAAAAGACATGGCTGGAAATGGTATATAAAATGTAACCAAATTATCAAAGAAAATGAAGATTTATAACATCTGTTGTTACTGACAATAACTTTGTCTGCATACTCTTCATAGGTGACTTTTAACTTGATAATGATTCTTGAGGACACAAAAAGGAAAATTAAAGGCAGAAAGCTCTTGGATAAGTTTGCTTGGAAATGGTAAATAAATAATGGCGTCTTCGCTTTTTTATACAATTTTAATAGCATCTCTAATAATTTTGATGCACTTCAAAATAGGGTACTGCAGATGCGTCATCCCACAGTGAGTTATATGTGGGGAATTCTTTCAGAAGAGAAGCGATTCTAAAAAAAAATGAAGATTCATGTACATACATTGATAAAAAAAAATTCTTAAATTTTTAGACCTCTTAATATTTAATTCTAAATATGTTACTACTTCATACACAACTTAAAAGTCTTATTCTTTATTCAAATATTTTGTATGTGTGCTATTCATTTGTTGGAAACTTACCTCACACTTTACGCACCAACGTTCTATTGATGATGGAAGCCGTGTATTGTATATCACTACTTCACATGTATTATCTTCCTCATCTTGTGTGTTTTTTCTTCTTCATTTTTTCCTTTTTTTTGTGTGTGAGATTTTATCTGTTCTATTTCCTGCTAATCATGTGATTGAATTTACTGCTAAAGCACAGCTTAATGATAAAGCTTGTCAATTATTCAAAACAAAACAAAAATGGTGAATGTCATCATAACCATGATGTTAGATAGGCTTTCTACCTGCTAATTCCACCTATAAAGTGATTACACCATAGAACTTTCGGCCTTATTCGCTATAATCCAAGAATAGTTTAGAAATATATACGATTTTATTGTAAACTCAAAATCATCCTTGAATTAATTTCAAGATTTCTAGGAAGAAGCCAGTTTTACACTGGTGTTTCTGCTACTGCAAACTATGATGTTCTATTGAGGAATAAGTCCACTTATTCGCCAGACAGATGGGTTTGCCAGACTGATGGGTGTAATCTTTATTTGCTTATAAAAAAGTGTATGTATGGGTTTAATCAAAGCTTCAAATGTATAAATTCCAAAAGATTTGGTCAATGTCTCTCCTCACGTATAGTTTTCAAAATGTTAGACTTTTTTTTCTCCATCTTTTACTTTTTTTCTCCATCTTTTACTTTGCATGCTTCTGTAACATGAATTCGGTCTATAAGTAACTGGTTGTGTAAGGGATTAAAGGAAAGTATTGTCGGTCTGAACACAGTACCCCCAAATGACAACTAGGAATTTTCAATAACGCTAAGGGTTACCAATTTGTTCTCCAATAAAATTTAGATAAAAAGGAATCTAGCAAATATCAAATTAATAATATATCACCTCTCTCGCTCTCTCTCTCTCCCCCCCTAAATGAATATTTAAACCCTCACCTCGAGGCTCAAACTTCTCATGGAAAGCCACAGAAGAACAGGAGTCCTTTCATAGATATGGCAACCATTCGATCCAACCAAAAAGCTTTCTTCTTCTTCAACTATCTCCAGTCTCTTTCCCAAACCCCTCATAGGCTCAGAAAGAGAATGCTAGCAACATGGACCCCGGACCAAGAGCTTAATCGAATAAAGGTAAGGTCTGGTGCTGATATGAAGAGGAAACTTAGATGGTATGACTTGGTAGCTCTTGGCGTTGGTGGAATGCTTGGTGTTGGTGTTTTCGTCACCACTGGCCCCGTAGCTCGCTATGACTCTGGTCCATCAGTCTTCATATCCTATATCATTGCTGGAATATCAGCACTTCTCTCTTCTTTGTGTTACACCGAGTTTTCAGTCCAGATTCCTGTTGCTGGTGGTGCCTTTAGTTACCTGACAGTGACTTTTGGTATATTATCATTACGTTAGATGTAACCTTCCTTTTTCTTCATTTCTTGATTAATTGAAATGATTATAACATAGAAATATACATGTCACCAACTTATCCAATTACCTTCCATAGGAGAATTTGTGGGGTATTTTGCTGGAGCGAACATACTAATGGAGTATGTATTGTCGAACGCCGCCGTTGCAAGAAGTTTTACAGAGTATTTATGCTCAACCTTTGGAATAAGTGATCCCAATTCCTGGAGAGTGGAAGTTCATGGATTGCTAGAAGGTTATAACAAGTTGGATTTCTCAGCTGTTGCTCTTGTTCTTATTCTCACTCTCTGCCTATGTCATAGGTTTGATTTCTCATTCCCTTTTGTTTTGTAGTTCAAAATGAACAAGTTTTTAGAGGGTGAACTGATGGATGTTTCCTTCTTTTGGTTTACAGTACAAAGGAAAGCTCAATCTTGAACCTTATCATGACAATCTTCCATGTTTATTCTTCGGGTTCATCATAATCATGAGTTTCTGCAATGGAAGTGTGGATAACTTGGTGAAGCCAAGAGGGTTAACTCCTAATGGTATTAGAGGTGTTCTTGATGGAGCAGCTATAGTTTACTTCAGCTATATAGGCTATGACTCTGTCTCAACCTTGGCCGAAGAGATCCAAAACCCTTCGGTAACCCTTCCGGTGGGAATCATTGGTTCGGTTCTTATCGTCTCGGGACTTTACTGCCTCATGGCCTTGGCTTTGTGTATGATGGTTCCTTACAATCAGGTCAGTCGACATATACAACTTGTTCCTGAAATATAGATGTCAAGTTCTTTTCTTACGGGAACAATCTTGATATACTAAACTGTTTTGTTTTCACATGATGGTATAGATTGCTGAAAAGGCATCATATTCAAAGGCTTTCCAAAGTATTGGTTGGAAGTGGACGGGGAATGTTGTAGGGGCAGGAGCAAGCTTGGGGATAGTTGCTTCTCTTTTGGTCGCCATGTTAGGCCAAGCCAGGTACTTGTGTGTTATTGGAAGGGCCAGGCTAGTCCCATCTTGGTTATCTAAGGTGCATCCTTCCACTGGCACCCCATTAAATGCCACTCTCTTTTTAGGTATATGAAGTCCCCCCCCCCCAGTTTTTTTAGCTGTATATTGTACGGTGGTCTAATCTAACATTGATTTTCAGTAAATTTTAACTTAAAAATGTTATCATTGATTTTTGGTAAATTTTAACTTAAAATGTTATCATGTATAATCTAAAAGGTTATATAACTGACAATAATTTTAATTATAATCAATAATGGTACATTAGAGTGAGTTTTAACCTAAAATGTTACATGTCTACTCTAAACAATTACATGATTGATAATAATTTCGATTGCATTAGTTGACGATAACTTTTTAAGTTGCAACCGGAATAATTATGCAATTTACTTGATTTATTATGTAGAACGTAATATTTTTCAATTTCAACCTAAAATATTATCATATTCACTCAAAAATTATGATCTTAACTCTTTTTATACTTGTATTAACGGATTGTATTTTAAACAATACCTATTTCTTAATTGGAAAGTGTTCGCCAGTTGCTAGGTTTATGACATATTTCTAACCTAATTTCTCCTTCATATTCAACCATCCCCTCCTCGTTTCCCACTTCCCCTTGACCCTTACTTTGGTTTTTCCATTTCCTTTTTCCTTGGGGTTGGTGTGGAATTTGATGAAAGGGCTATTCACCACAAATTCTTGATTACTCTGATGTCACTTTCAATCACAATTAAGAGGCTAATAATGGCAGACATTCCTGATTGCATAACAAAATAATGTTCTTCAGAGCAATTCTTTTTGTACATCAAATACTATTGTGATTGTATGAAATAATAAAGAGAATTTGATGTGTACATGGTATAGGGATTTGCACGGCATCAATAGCACTCTTCACTGACTTGGACATAGTGATTGAAATGATCTCAATCGGCACATTGTTGGTGTTCTACCTGGTGGCCAATGCTCTTATCTACCGAAAATATGTGACAACAGGCAAAAATTCACCTTCCATCACACTCTCCTTCCTCTTCCTCGTTACATCATGCGCGATAGGCTTCTCGATATCCTGGAAACTTGAGCAGCAATGGTGGGGTTTGCCTCTTTTCGGTGGGATCACGGTCGCCTTCATCACCTTCTTCCAGTACACGATGCCTTGCCAAGGGCAGCCAAGTGAGTGGTCAGTGCCTTTCATGCCTTGGCCGGCTTCAATATCCATTTTCCTCAACGTCTTCCTTATGACCACATTAAAGATGCTCTCATTCCAAAGGTTTGCTGTATGGGCATGTTTGATAACTTTGTTCTATGTATTATATGGAGTTCACTCAACGTTTGAAGCAGAAGAGATGGAGATGGAAGTTGCTGTTAATGAAGTACCAACCCATCTATCCAACTAACTAAGCTAGAGGTTTAACATTTAAACTCTATTAAAATTAGAAAAATCGAGCTTTTCCTCTCATTTTCTATTATTTAAGCATTTAGTAATGAGAGGCAATCAATCTAAGTTCCTCTTAATTTTGAATTCGAAAAACTCGATCTAAGTTTGAATTGTTTCTAAGAACATTTGGCGAGCTTAAAAGATAATGCAAATGAAACCATAGTAGTAAACAAAATTATCCAACACTAGGTGACAATATCTACCTTTCTTTTTTAATGAAAACATCTTCTTGCCATCCTTCAACCCCATTTCACTTCGTATTAGGGAACATGGAGGACGGTTTCTTTCGACAAAAATGCATTAGAAAATGCATCCATGATCTTTTGCTGCGACTCGAGTATCATCTCGTTGTGTTTCATCTCTATCTCCATTCTCATCTTCTCAATCTCCCTTACCATCTCCATCCACAGAAACCCTTCGGCCAACAACTCCATTTAAACCCCTCTTGAACCCAGCACTAGCGTTCTTCCTCCCAAGCCCTTGCCTTGAAAAAGAAGCAACTCCATTTAAACCCCCAAAGTCACCACCTGGTTCAAAGTTCCAATCACCTCTACCACGTTTCTTTTGTTGACCTCTACCATTTTTCTTTTGTTGAAAAGCTTGAGGCATTGAATCTCTTGCTCGAAACGCCATTTCTTCATCATTTGAGTCATTATCATAATTATAATTTAGATTGGGGCAACAATAATTTTTTGGTTTGAATCCCACGTTCAAAAAACACTGATCACCTAAGGTCTTAAGAGGAAACTCTGAAGACTATCGACATCTTGAGCAAAACTATGATCAAAATCAACAATAGAACCATAACCATCGCCAATTCTACCGTTACTCTTAAAATTTTTAGTTCCTTTATCCACAAAATCCCCATTTCCATGCCATTTCACCCCATGCTCACTTCCCAATCTGTCATCAAAATTAAAACTTGAACCATACCCACCACCATATTCATAATGAACACCGGGACTAGACCCAGAGTTCCCATCAATATGCCGGCACTGAACAGATGATTCCTCATCACGGTAACGCTCCAAACGAGAACGGTAACACTTCCTCATCACGGAGATGGAGTGCCGATCATGCCTTGCCCGGTAATGATTCATGAAGATGGAGATGAAGAGATGTATTCTCTGCTTCTTCTCTGCACGGTAACGCTTCCTCATCTTCTCGGTCTTATGCCGGCACTGAACAGACGATTTCACAGTCCCGGGATCGGACGCGGAGGATACGGCATCCGACACGGCGTCCCAATCCAACGCTTTCAGGTTCCTACGTCGAAGAGCGAACCATTTGTCCTTGTAAGCCTTGATCAACACCAGTGTTTCCCCTTTAGTCCAGCAGGGAGGAGGGACCCGCCGTGTGGCAGTAGCGGAGGAGGATTGCAGAAGAGGATGAGAAGTAGTAGTCGACATAATGATGGAGAAGAAGCTGGTGGAGGAGGTGTTCGGTGTGGGATAAGGAAAAAAGAAGGGAGCATTTGTTGTTTTTGAATGGCTTAAAAAAGAGAGGGGTTTAATATGAAAGCGATTAAAGAGGGAGAGAAGCTGTCGATTGGTTGCCTGATGCGTGCGGTGGCGGCTATCGTGCGGTGGGGTGGGGAGTGGTCACGCGACAGCGAAACACATTTATTTGAGGTTAAGTAGAAGTGTTGGAAGGCTAGAGTCCGTAACTAAACACGCAAACCAAGTACTTAATGTCAACCAATGATGAACCCACTTCCTCTTTTCGGCATCCCTGACAAAGGAGGGTTTGCGTTGGATTGAAGTGGCTACTCATGGTGGTGACTGGTGCGGTGCTGATATGAAAACCAGAGGGGAGAGCCCACTTTGGATGTAAAAACTGGTCTTCATCTTTTGCCCTTTGAGTGGAATGCGTACTAAAATTGAATTGAAATCTCAGCTTTTAGGACCCAAGAAGTTGTTTATTGCAACAAAAAATGGTTAGAAAATCTGGCTTTTAACATAATCGAACCGATACAATTGCATGAAAGTAACATAAAACTATATACGCTTCCTAAATTAACTTAACAGAACCTAAAAATAATTAATATAACAAAGATTAATTAGAGCTTATTCAATGGCTAAAACGTATTTCATAGTCTGTATAGCACTGTGAATTTCTAGATGTCATGTGTAGGTATGATCTTCTAAATATATGTAAAAAAAAACACATAAAAGATTAAGTATACCCATATCTGATACTCTCGAGTATGGGTAACATAGGTTGTCCTTGAGTCCTTCACATTGATGGTTGCCTTGATGTTGGAATTTTCACGGGAAATAATTTATAGATGTGAATTTCTGCTTCAATTTTGGACTGTTTTTCTGGCTGTTATGCAGCTATGACAAATCAACAGCTAATGGATAAAGGAAACCAGATGATGGATGAGACTGATCAAGCCATTGACAGGGCTAAGAAGGTACAAACTTTTGATGCATTAGATTTTGAAAACAAATGCTGCATTTTCCTCAACCGAGAAATGATTTCTTGCATTTAGAGCTTTGGTTCTTTGAAATTTCATTTCATGTTATTTTTAGAAAAAGAGGCAAGAGGTCTTGGGATGTAATACCTCTTAATTCAATTCCTCCCATGTCATCAACTCGTCCCTTGTTTTTAATAGGTTGTCCAAGACACTGTTGATGTTGGAACAGACACTAATGCAGCTCTCAAGGCTCAGGTACATAACTTGAAAGCATTAAAAATTATCAACTTGGCCTATATCTCAGGTTCAGCTAACTGGTTTACTCTAGTTTGATATTCAAACTAAGAAGGCTTATTTTCCTCATATTTAGACTGAACAAATGAGCAGGGTAGTTAATGAGCTGGATTCTATCAATTTCTCAATGAAAAAGCATCTAAATTGGTCAAAGAATTTAGTAGACAGGTCAATCTCTGAAACATCCACTTCCTTCCAATGGTCAAATACTGTCTTGAATTCAACTCTATTTACAAATTTCATTCCCTTTTTCTGTATAGGTTGTCACTGATAAGTGCTTTATGACAATGTTGTTTCTCTTTGTTATGGGTGTCATAGTCATCATCGTCGTCAAGGTACTACTCTTTTTCTCTGTCTCGTTACACCATTTATCACTGAACTAAGGCTTTGCTTTGATATGAAAGATGGAAAATTTGTTAAGCTACAAAACAAGAAAACGACTATGAATCTTAACCATTTGATTAACAAATTTTCTCAGCTCGTGAATCCAAAGAATAAGGACATTCCGGATATTCCAGGACTAGCACCACCTGCAATGAGCCGACGGTTGCTTCGGTATCCTAATTGAAGAGTTGGAATGAACCAACTACCAGATAAATGTTTCAAGATTATTCGCAGCCACTTTGAATTGAAGTTTGAAGCATAAATAGCCATATAACCCTGGTGGTTGTCAATGCAGAGAACTGTTGTCACAGTAATAATCAATGAAGAGTTCGGAAGAACTTGCCATGGACTAAATCCCAACTGTTATTTTTTTGATTTACCGACTCGAATAACTGTCAGGACTGAAGGAATTGTCACATTTGACAGCATCCCTAAAATAAAACGTTTTTGCTTCCGTTTTGTCAAAATTCTTCATAGTCATGTTCGTGATTCCGAGACAATCAACCACAAATTCAACAGTTCATAATTAAACATGAAAAAGAAATAAGGTCAAATTTCAGGGGGAATCGACAGAAAGGGTTTGTTTAGCCGTAATTGTCAACATGTCCGATAAAGTAAGAAAATATTTAGGAAATTAATAAAGAAAGTAGGTATCAACCGAGACGGACATAGTATTTTATGTTATTAGGGCGAACTTTTAAAATTTTATGGAGGGATGAACTTATAAAATTTTATGAGGGGTGAAAAAATATTTTCAATAAAAAATACATAGTTGCATGAATCTTCGTGTTGACCTGGTTGCGTCAGCCGTGTAGAACGGATGAAAAGGTACACGCCATGCTGTTGAAAATATTGCATGCAATTATAAATTATAGTATCCTTGTCCTGATTTCCTAGGCAGATATGAAATGGGAACTTGGACCCTCGACTTCTAAACAGTTATACTTTGAGAGCAGCTCCAAAGGTTGGGAAGTTGGCTGATAGCTGCCTGAACAAAAACGCCAAGGAAAGACCAACAACGAGTCAGGTGGTAGAGCGCTTGAAGCAAGCAATACAAGAATCAGAAGAAGGAAGCTCTTCAGTCGACAAGGCTTCCCTTATGTCCTCGACGAGAAACGGCCGACGAAGATCGAAGTAAGGTTCGGTATAAGCGCATTTCTGATCTGATCTTTAGCAGATAGCCAATCAATAAAGCTTCTATACTAGTGACTAACCATATATATATTGATGCATTCAACTCATGTTTGTAAGACTTTTGGTGTTGGCCATCCCATCGAAAGAGGCAGTGCAGAGAAGGACGAATTTCTTTTCAGCAGAAAGAATGCTTGTAAATCAGAGCAGCCATTGTAGGTTTCTATGGATTAAATTGACACTTGAATTTCTTTGTTGACCAAAAGGATTCCTTCTTTTGAAAGAAACAATAATGGAAACAAAAAGGCATTGTTTGCTGATATTTTTCATTTTTAAATAAAAATAAATGAATTCCTCATGTGTTTATTACTTTAGTGTAGTTTCTCAAGCCACACTCCAACTTCTAATTTTAATTTATAATTAAATTAGATACAGTAAAATAAATAAAAATCGATTACTCAAATATTTTCAACAAAAATCAAATATTTGAATTAGTACTCAAAATAATAGAAACTGAGGAATATATGAAAAAAAAGGAAAACTTCAAATTATTGTTATTCTGTAGTTTTGTTTCTATAACGAAAGATTTTGTTTAATACTTGAAGATACGTTATATGATAAAATATTTTGGGATAATTATGTATTTAGTATTTATATTATCAGTTTTGATCCGTTTTAATACTTAAACTTTAAATTTTTTTTAAATTCATATTTAATGTTTAGTTTTTGTTTCATTTTAGTACTTTGTCGTTAAAAAGTTTAACAACGCTGCATTTTTTTATGAGTAAATTACACCATTCATCACTCAAATATCTTCTTACTCTTATTTTGATACTAAAGTTTAAAAAATTTCAATTTAACTATTCAACTTTCAAATTGTTCCTATTTTAATCATTCTATTTTTATTTTATTAATAATTTTTGTGACATGAAACTTTTTATTATTATGTTATTAATATATAATTAAAAATTTAAAAAATAAATTTAAAAGTTAGAATAATTAAATTAGGAATAACTCGAAAGTTAAGTAATTAAATTAAAAAAATAAATTTTAGTGACCAAAATAGGAGTGAGAAGATAGTTGAGTGATGAATGATGTATTTTACCTATAAAAAAGGTGTTGCATGCAAATCACCCTTTAAGTTTTTAACGGTAAAATATTAAAACAAAACAAAAACTAAACATTTGTTATGATTTTAAAAAAACTAAAATACTAAAACATATCAAAATTAATAATTTAGGTACTAATACTCGACTCAAATCCGTCCAACTCTCAACTTTGTATTACAAAAACTAAAAACTAATGTTGCCCTAGATAGAATGAAATCTCCATATAATTTATGGAGATGTAATCTTTTTATTATGTTTTGACCCATCTGCTACTTTGCTATATAATGCAAAAAATTAATGGAGTACATGGACTCTGTACATACTTTCTATACAAAAGCAGCCTCCTTTTTCTCAACACTATCGTCTTTGAGAAACCCAATGTAAAGATTTGTTCCCCGGCTGTCGCACTCGGAAATCCTTCTTCCTCCTTCGGACATGTTCTTCACAAATTCCACCAAATGCCTCCAGTTGTCCCCTTCAAACAACCTTTTGTTCATTCTTAAATATGTAAATGCACTCAAACCGTTGCCTGAATCCGATCTACTGGTTCCCAAAACCTGTGCATATCCACCAGCATCATACCTCTCCAGTGCATTTTCTCCGGCGAGTTCGACTCCGGCCGTATTCGTTGCCATCTTTACTTGCCGGACTAATCCCTCAGGTGAACAGTTTGCGTATCCAGGTTGTTCCCCATCTCTCATTTCCATGCAAGTGAAATTGAAAACAACTCCATGTTTACTGAACATTTTAGCTATTGGGAGGTAACCATCATGGTATCTAGTATTATAGTACCCAGCTGTGAGTTCAGCAGCATGGGACCTTGTTCCGTAATGCCAGTGAATTCCAGCAACTTTTGCTGATAGTTTCGCTCCTGTTCCATGGAATGTTCCTTTTGCAGCTGCAAGTATTCGGTCTCCATGCTCCAGTAGCTTTCTGGAGTACCATTGTAGGAAGAAGTGTCCGTACTCGGTGTTCCATGTTCCATCCCTTGTGAAAAACCCAGTTTCTTCAGGAACTTGCTTGTAATGGCCTGAATCATGTGGACCACCTTTTCCCCAGTCTTTGTTCCCCATGGCTTCGGCTGCTGCTTCAAGTGAAGCTCTCATATACTGTAAGTTCAACATTTAATTAGTTTGTTTAAATTAGATACATTACTCAAAACATAAATAAAACAGAAACTCCATTTAGTTCATCAAATTTACTTTATCATAGCACTGAAACTCTCCAATCCCAGGAAATTTCCATGTTCCATTGCTTTCCGGATAAGACGGGTATCTCAGTTCCCCACAAGGTCCCATCCCCACTTGAATTTCCTGAAATAGAAATTACACTTAGATTTCTAGAGTTCCCCAGAAAATGAATAAAAGTGCAAAAAAGTTGATATTTGATGTTTTTGATATTATATACATGTTGGGTAGGCGCCAGTGGTCCATCATTTGGTGGATTTTACCAGCATGAATACGATTATGAAATGATACTGACACCTTTGTAGTATCTTTTTTTAGTCTATCTGCTTATATCCATTCATACAGATATAAATGTTATCTACTTTCTAGTGACATTTAGTTAAGAAGCTCACTTTTTATCTTTATTTTTACAGTTTCATCAGTACTTTCTTTTCTAGCTACCCTAGATCTAGCAGTAAACTAGAATTTCATAAGATTTTACTGTTTCAATTAGTAGAATGAGATTTTACCACAATAACTCGTCCCAAGTAATCTTTGAACCTCTCACGGAAGCTCCTCATGTAATCTGTGTAAGCTTGAATTGGTGTTCTTCCTCTGAGAACAGGAACCGAGTCACATCCCAAGGATAAGTACTCGGGATTCCTCCTCCCCGATTTATCAGTGTAGACAAGGTCCGGGTCTCTGCTGATTTCCTCAAGCACCCATGGAGGCAATGGAATACTAAACATTCAATTACAACATTTCAGGTTTTTAGGTACATAGTTTTTGTCAGTAGAAGAGAATTAGAAACACATGCTGTGAAGTAAAATACCTGCAAGAGTCTCCAACATTGCCACCACACTGATGAAAAGACATGACAACTTGGAGCTTCAGACCATGCTTTTCGACCATTTTCACAAGCTCAGCATACCCTTCCCAATTATAGTCTAAAGGTCCATCTTTCTCCACTAAACCCCACCAAGCGTCCACCATAACCCCTTCCACGCCGGCGCTCTTTAAGGCCATCAAACTGGCAGTCATCGCCCGTGGCTTGTTCAAGTTACCTCCTACAGTTACCGTGTCGAGTGGCAACATCACGAAGACAGGCACCTTTGAGTTGTTTTCAGTATGGGAAACCGTAGGAGCATGTAAGTTCTCCGTTTCTTTGATGGAGATATTACCCTGCAACGACATGGACGTGGAATTCTTTGCTCGGAGACGGCACGATGGCTTCATCTGAGCAAAGGGAATGGTGGCTAAGAAGTCATCGGGGGTTTTGAAGCTTCTGGCTTCTTTTAGCTTGATGAAAGAAGTAGAAGAACGTAATGTTAAGGCCATGTTTAGGTGAAATGAAGAGATTGGAATGAATGAAGATGGTTTACATGTATTTATAGAAGGAGACAATATTGGTGGGCTCAGTTTTCAAAAAGTGCATAAGATGAACCTAGTCAGCACAAGGTCACGTTATCTAAAACGCGGCCATTCTTTAACAAAATTCAACATCCCGAATTGCAGATGAAAATGTGAAGCCCCCAGGTTGAAATATCTTGGAAAAAGATATTTTGAACTAGTCACGGTCAAAAAAGGGGTCTAAACCAAGAGCTCTAGCTTCTAATTTTTCATTATTACAATATTTGTGGCTCACAAGTTACTAGGGTTTCAATTTTATGGCTCTGATCGGCTAAGGATTACAACATTGGAGAATTTTGGTTTGCAAAAGCATGTGCAATTTTCTTTCCAAATTTCCATTGCTTTATGCCAAATGCTTCTCCTGCACAGTTCTGTCAGAATAGTTAAGATAATCTTAGGGATAAGACCAAAATCGTCCACGTCAGTAATACGTGTAGGCTAGTTGAACATTGAAAAAAAATGACCGACGCCATTTACGAGGTTCCATCTTATACATACGCGAAGAAGGTAATAAGAATATCAAATGTTGCATTTATGATGAAGCCAAGCATAGCATAGCATGTGCTTTTCTTTCTCGAATCCCACATAATATCAGTATTATTTAGCATCCGCGTGTATGGGAGTTCATTTGGCTTTCAACTTTGGATACCAAATAAATGGAATGCAAGTGGGAAAATCAACACCAAGCTTTTGGACATTAAAGATGAGAGAAGGGTGTATTATGAAGCATGCATGGCAACTTGCAAACAAACAAAATGTATCTCTTTCCAACATTGCAGGCAAATTGAAATGCATAATCTGAAAGGAAGAATGATAAATTTGTATTGGTGGGCATTAGTCTTTCTTTCTCCATCACCAAAAGCACATTTTTTTCCATTCAAAAGGATGAGTTTTCCGTGGTAGATATATCTCCTTGCCTCTCATTTCTATACACATGGTGTTTAGGACAAAAAAGCAAGGTGGAAAAAATTGTCCCCCTTTCCCTACTGTTTTCACACTTGGATTTTAAGTACAGACATTACCCTGTTCTGCTTTTAAATGGATCGGTGGTAGGGATGGGCATGGACCGATCGGGTCAGGTTTTTTTTTAAAAAAATTGAGTTCGGGTCGAGTTCGAGTTTAGGGTGAAAAATACTTGACCTGACACGAAAAAAATATAATTTTATCTTATATATTTATGAATAATTACAATAATACCCCTCTATATATAATTTTTTTCAATTAACTCATTGTTTTTATTGAATAAAAATAATATTTTTTTTTATTTTTTTTTATTTCGGATCAGGTCGAATTTTTAAGTTATATATCGGGTCGGGTTCGAATCGGGTCAAATTTTGTTTTAGTTGGATCGGGTCACAGGTGGAGGATCCCTTGTTATCAGATCTAGTCGTGTGGACTAAAAATCTGACCCGACCCATCTATATCCCTAATCGGTGGTGGATGATGAAGCAACAAAGCTTGGTTACCTAATTCCCCCTTTTTCCTGTAGAGGACAGTTTTGTTAGATATAGATTAAGTCATAGCATAAACTTTCTTCAATTGAAATGTCCTATTTCACAAACATTCTAAAATAAAATGGTTTTATCCGAATACCATCCGTCTAACAAGATTACTTTTGAATAGGGATGGATTCATAAATATTTTTAAGATGAACATATATATATATTAGTAATATAAATTTTTTATATGCAGGGTGGACACAACCAATGAAATGAATAATTAATCAAAGGAAAATTAATTTTCAGGATAGGTAACCACCCTGTAGATACTCATTTTCGTTCCTATTTTTTATAATATATAATATATATATATCATATGATATGAATACTATCACTACAGCAAAACTGTTCTTTAGCGGCGTTTTTAGCGGCGTTTTAAGAGTAAACGCCACTAATTTTAAATATATAGCGGCGTTTACATTTCAAACGCCACAAAATGGTAACTTTAGCGGCATTTATTTACAAACGCCGCAATAGGGTTTATATATAGTGGCGTGTTTTCGACAAACGCCGCAATAGGTCCATCTATAGTGGTATTTTTCAATAAACGCCACAACAGATTAGTATTTTAGCGGAGTTTTAATACAAACGCCGCAATAGGTGAACTCTATAGTGGCGTTTTTTAATAAATGTCGCAACAAATTAGAACTTTAGCGGTGTTTTTATAAAAATGCCGTAATAGAGTTCACCTATTGTGGCGTTTTTTAAATAAACGCCGCAACAGATTAGAACTTTAGCGGCGTTTTTATACAAATGTCGCAATAGTGTTTACCTATAGTGATGTTTTTCAATAAACGCCGCAAGATATTAATATTTTAGCGGCGTTTTTATACAAACGCCACAATTTATCAATAACATAATATCAATGGAATACTTTCTTAAATTTATTTGAAGATAGTTGTCTTCCTCCGCTTGAATCGCTATTATCCAAGACAGCTGTCTGCTAAAATGGTCCTTTACCTACCCCTATTCGAAACAAAGAAGATAAAAAATTAAACAAAAAAACCATAGCTAAATCCCTAAAACCGACCTTTATTCCTCTTTGCTTTCCCCTTCCATTTGCACTCTGAAGATCGTGCGAAAAAACTTGATGGAGCTAATGCGATCCTTAAGCTACATCGTTCAAACGAGCAGTTATGGAGGGTCCAAACAACGTCTATCTTCCTCCGCTTGAATCACTGCTCGCCCTGGGATTTCTTCCACCCAAAACGCGTCTTCGTCGCCTAATCAATTGCTAGGAAATGGGCGAATTTTTTACCACATCGAGAGATTGATCGGTACTCACATACTTCAAAACTTCTCGCTCGTTGCTGGGCATCACAGATAAGTGCACTGATTTCTGATAGATCTGGGCTTGGGTCTTTAAGTTTCATGGTCACCGTTCGAGAATCGCCTTCTAGTATTACCTTCTGAAAACCCAAGTCGATTGTTAATTGCAGACTATAGTTCGATGCCATTGCTTCAGCAACAAACTTCGATGGAATATGACAGGTCATTCGTATGCATTGTTATGCATTGCACGTGTAAGTTCCTGATGAATTTTGTTCTTTTGTTCTCATTGTTAATACTTCATGTATTATTGCTGGCTTCTGCCGTTTGTGATTGGTGTTTTCTGCTTTCAAGGTTAAGGAGAAGCCTTCACTTTGGTGGAATATCAGGTATTGTAGTGTAGGTTCCTCATTTTAGGGCTATGATGTATTTGACCGTCTCATATATGTGAAACACATTTATGGCATGTATTTAGAACCCTGAATTCATATTTCATTTACTGTATAAATTGTGATAATGAAATGCATACATTGCATTGCCTTTAAATTAGTTGTAAATCAATATGATTGCATATTTAAAAGATATGAAGCCTGGATTTCTAATCCACACACATCTTTAGATATTTTAAACTTATCATTAAATTGACATTTAACTAATTCATAAGTTTGAAAAATAATAGCAAGTGATATTGTTTCATTTGTTTTTATTAAACAATCTTCAGTACTTCTGAAATCCCATTCCAAAATTTAGAATTTAAATGCTGCAAATCAACCTTGAGAAATTGTTTTTACTTGAGAACATGTCCTGACTTTTGTTAGTAGGAGATTTTGGTATCATATAGCTTACTTCTACAATTTGTATATATACTCTCAAAATGAATTGAAAAGGTACTTAATGCATCCAAGTACCGTGGATCTTCTCCCTTAGCAAGTTCAAAGCTTTAGGTTTCAGTAGAGCTGATTTAAGGATGTTTTCTTGGTGTTGCCTTTTATGATTTTCAGTTTATTATGTTCATGTTTGTGGAATGCACTTCAATGAACAGGTTAAAGCAGGCATTGAAAGTTGGCTTTAACCATCTTGTTTTTTAAGACAATTATGATACTGGAGCTGGAGATCATTATTCACTGAGGCAGATATGTGACCAGTTCTATATAAGAGGTAGATGCTCTGACACCATTTTTATCTGCATTTCTTTTATCTTTTGTCATTATGTCTGAAATTCATATCCTTGAATTCCATGATGGTACTCCCTCATTTTTCCATATTTGAGTAAATAGCAGATTCTTTCTTGGAGGCGCACGTGGATTCATTCAGGTATGTGTGCTATTATATCCACATGTAGACTCTACACACTAGTAAACGTAGATGCTAAGTGTTTTAATTGGGTTATCATCATGTTCTCTCTCTAGCTTTTGATATCTTCTTCTCAATTATTTTTTTGTTTACATTTTGGGTTCTTTTAGGGTTTTAATTGGTACATGTTGGATGAAGGAGAAAGAGACGATGATCATGGAATTGCCCGCAGAATCAATGATCAATGGTATATCTTAAGTAAATATCAGATGTGTTAATTAAAGTGGTATATCTTCTCTTTTAATCTTTGAGTAATAGCAGGGGAAAAACTCTTAAGTAAATAGAACTTAAGCTTATCCCTTACCTTACTACCAAATGTGTTAGTTAATAAATTTTTAGTGAACTTAAGCTTATCTAGAATTGAAGGATTTAACTACAAATCTTTTAGTTAATAAATTTGTATGTGCTTCATTCCAGGAATCTGCTGGACATGTACATGAATTTGGTTTTCCTAAATTGTTTTTGTAAATATGCATTACTAGTTGATTACAAGTTGGTGATATCCATCTTCTTTTTTCCTTTGATGTTTTTCGATTAATTATGTCATTGTCTCTACTTTGATGCTTAAGTAAGACTTTTTTATAGTCAACTTAACTTTATACAATTTGTGGCAGAATCCTAGTGTTTGCTTTGTCAAAGCTGCTAAGGCTGAAGTTTTGGATGATCTTCAGGGGACCATTGACACATTGGCTTGGGGAAAGGTCTCTCGTATTGGGGAAATGAGCTATGTTGTTTGTCTTGGCTGTAGTTGAGCTATGTTGAACTATGTTACATTTTAATTTTATAAATTTTGATTTATTTTTCTACATAATTTGTGTCGTAATTAAATTTTTTAAGTTTATTGTTATTAGATAATGTTATAGAATATTAAATTTGCGTAATATAAAGTAAAAAAATGATATATGCAAAACTAGTTAACTATAGCGGTGTTTTTAAATAAAAGTCACCAAAAGTCAAGTTCTTTTGCGACGTTTTGTGAAGGAAACGCCACTATATACATTGATAATAGAAAACAAATGCCACTAAATATAAGGTAAATAGCGGCGTTTTTGTTAAAACGCCGCTATAGACCATGACCTTTTACGGCGTTTTATATTGAGCTTGACCTTTTGCGGCATTTTTATTAAAAACACCGCTATTAAGCTTGACCTTTTGCGGCGTTTTTGTTCACAAACGCCGCTACCTTTTGCGACGTTAGTTTCAGCGGCGCTTATTGCGGCGTTTTTACATATGCTGGGAAAGTTTTTAGCGACGCTGGAAAACGCCGCTATAAAGCTAAAAAACGCCGCTAAAAACATATATTGTTGTAGTGTATATTATATTCTATAATTATAATAAACATATATTAATTTTTTTTCGTTTTGTCTTCAGGATCAAACCCTAAGCTTATTACAAATAAAAAAACACGCCCGTAATCCAACAGTGGACCCAACAACACGCGCAACCCGGATCCAATTCCTCAACCCGAAGCCAACCTGGAGCATCCAGAAGCGGTCTACTGGAGTGACCCATATCGGTTAGGGTTGTTGAAACACTAACCCTATCTCTTAAGCGGCACATGCTCCATTCTCTCCCCTGCGTCACTTTTCACGGCAGTACACCCCAACGACCGGGTTTCTCATCTTCACAACGTCCGGTGCAAGAAAGGCAAGCCAACAAACAACAAGCATCAGTGTTATACTCAGAATCAAACGCTCAATATAGCCTAAAAATAGGATTTTTTTCACTTATAAATTGATGTAAACCGAGCACAAGGGGGAGGATGGACAGACAAATATTACGAGACAAATACATAGAAGAAACGAGAGAAACAGAAACACAAAAAATCACGGGAGGAACAGAGGAAGACTCGAACCAGAAAAAAAGTGTACCAGATTCATTCGTAGTTAAAAAAGAGAGAAACGTTCATGGGGATCCATTGGAGAAAACCAGAAATCATTTCTCAAATACAAAGAAGGAGACAAAGAGCCAAGTAAAAAACCTGACCTTTCCATTCGAAGAAGGCAATTTTCGTTCACCGGAGCTAAGAACCTTTAAAAGATCAGGTAAGATGGTTTCCGACTTACCTAAATGTTTTAAAATGGTTGGTGGCGACTTTAACCCAATTCAATTCACGTCGAAGCCCAATTCCTGGGCCCAACCGACAGACGGTTCTGACAGCTTGGCGACTCCGCTGGGGACAGGTAAGTGAGTCAGGCCGAAATTAATTTTCGGTTGTCTTTTTTAGCGAAAGTTATAAATTTTAATTTTAATTTATTTATTCGATTCTAATTATTTATCTTTGATTATTTTTTTCAAATAAATAGTTGTACTAACGTTTTTTAATGATTTCAGATTTTTCAAAATTGTCATCTCTAGCTCTATACCCGAGCTTCGAGCCCTTTTAAGTGGGGGCGAAAGCGATACATTCGTGGGAATTTATTCTCCGTATAGGCCTAGCAAGTAACCTTCGGGATTCATATACCATATATCTTCGTGTGAATTTATTCTCCGTATGGGCATAAGGGAATGTATCCTCTCGAGTTTAACTTAGTCCACACAAGCTTGTAATGGGCTTAGGACTAAGGGTCTGGAAAGCCCAAGGGGGCACCAGTAAGGAGAACTCGAGTACCTTTTTAGAACCTAAACCGAGAGAGTACAGAGAATTAGAGCCCACCTCAAAACCTCATTGAAAAACCGTAGACTGCTTTGATTTTATTTCCTGCTTTACTTTTTGTTCAAAGCATGCGAACTAGACAAATATGCGGTTAGGATTTGTTTGAAATTGGCATGCGGGATATATATCATGTCCGGGTAGGAATTAAAGCATGTGGGGCAGATATCATGTGGGGTAGGATTTTTTATTTTATTATTGTTTTGATTTACCTCACTAACTCTTTTTATTTTTTGTTCTCCTTTAATCTATTTTCATCATTCATATCATTTAAAACGAGGTGTTGATCCACCAAAAACGTGTTTGTTAAACATGAATAGTCTGTATTAATGGACAAAGGGGTTGTAATACAAGAGATGAAAATGCAGAGGACAGTCTACAAGGCGACTATGTATCGCATTCAATCCAGAAGACGTGGTGCCCATAATTGAAGAGTATATCACTCTGTTGCATTATAAAGGACTCAGGACGAATCGAGTCTACATCAAGCACAATGAAAGTCTATCTTTGAAGAACTGACTAGAAAAAGTTGTAGAGCAAAACGAGGAAAATGTTACAGACCCGGATGCTTATTTCGAAAACTACGAGAACATGATGGTGAAACCCTAGCTAAGCTAGAGACCATTATTGAAAAATTCAAGAAACAAGCCGATAAACTTTGGATGGAGGGCCCCATTGGCGCATTCATTAGGAACAAACTCAGCAGAGAATGGAAGTCGGAGGTGCAGTCCTTCGAGACTTTTTTGGGGCAAACAACTCGTCATTTGCATGGTCATTCCAGAGAAGCCAGAGCGGTTTGACAGGTAATTCAACTGGCGACATACGAAGGCAGAAGACTAATCTACATATCAGAAGCTGTCAGGATATTTTTGTCTCTTAAAAGATAAAATACGTTTGCCCCCAATAAGGATTATTTCTAATAACATGCACATTTTTTAAGATCAATGCCTCGAACATTGCATGCATTATACATCTAGACATATTTTTGGATTTTATTATTTTTATTTACATTCGCATTAACTAACATATGCATGTCTCATCAAAAGGAACACATACTGGATAACCCACCTCAAGCATTGGACACACCCCATCTGCATAACACCCGCCTGAAAAAGAAGAAGATGGAAGCAAGAATGGAGAAAATCGAGGAGAACATGGCAAAATTGTAGAAAGAACTTGAAGACAAGATAAACCAGAGTAGTCTGAGTACTCTGAATGCAATCATGAAAAACCATAAGTCTTTGGTTGATCAGATCGTTGCCAAGTTAGTTGGCTTACAACAGACTAGTGCGCCTAGGGCAGGTTCACCGGAAGGGGTAACTATACCACCTACCCCACAAGTAGTTGTCTCACCTGAAATCTTACCGAAACTTCGAGGGAACTCATCTGCTACAAAAGCGAAGCCCTCAGCCTCTATATTTAACCTTGAGAACAATCCGGGTTATTACCATGACGAAGAGGACAAAGCAAAGAAGATGGAGGAAAAAAATCAAACAATTGGAGGACCAAATGAAGGTAGTCAAAGGAGACCATGACTACCATGAAATCGATCCCGCGGAACTTAATCTAGTCCCGGACTTAGTTCTTCCTCCGAAATTTAAGTCCCCGGAATTCGAGAAGTTTGACGGGAACAGTTGTCCATCTGTTCACATCACCATGTTCTGCCGAAAGATGACAGGATATGGAGGAAACGACCAACTCCTGATCCACTGCTTCTAGGAGAGTCTGTCGGGCTCGGTCATCCGGTGGTACAACCAGTTAAGCCGATCAAATATCAAGACTTGGAAGGACCTGGCCAAGTCATTTCTGGAACAATACAAGCATATCAATGATATAAGGCCAGATCGAGTTATGCTACAAAGCATGGAAAAAAAGAATAACGAGAGTTTCAGGCAATACATACAAAAATGGAGGGATTTGGTTGTGCAAGTTCATCCACTGTTGGATGAAAAGGAAACCCGAAAGCTCTTCGTACAGACCCTGAAGGCTCCATTCTTCGGGCACCTGGTTGCGATCACATCAGGAAGCTTTTCAGACTTGGTTATGGCCGGAGAAATGATTGAGTCGGCCATAAAGCAAGGCAAAATTAAGGATGGGGAGACCAGTAGGAAGCCTCCTATGCGAGAGCGGGATGGAGAGATTAACAACATCAAACATGCCAGTAAAGGTGTTATGATCTCCAAGCTGAAATCAACTGTAGTTGTACCGTCAGGTACTTCTAAACAAGATTCCAAAGAACCAATGAGGGAAAAGGAACATTTCGACCCTATTCCCATGACCTACAAAGAGCTTTACCATCAACTTCTTGACACCATGTAGTGTTACCATACCCGGTGGAACCCATGAAGCCCCCATACCTCAAGTGGTATGATAAGAATGCACATTGTAAATATCACGGCGGTGTCCCGGGGCACACAATTGAGAATTGTTACGCATTCAAGAGAGTCGTACAGAAGACGCGTAACCAGAACTAGATCGACTTCAACAACTTGGGGGCATCCAAGTGAGGAATATCATTTCATCATTTGAGGCATTCTGTTTGAATTTTCTTTTTTTCTCAAGTTTTTTGTAAAGACATTTGAATATATTTATGTTACTTTAATGATGACGAGCAATGAATCACATTTGCAAACTTGCAGTTCTTTGAATATCATTTGAATTAAGAAACTCTGTAAATGGTTTAAAGTTACAGATCTTTGACGAAGTAACATGATTTAGAACAAGGGCTTTTGACCTTACCCAGAATATACCCTCAAACACCATACTCTGCTCTTGCAATAAACCAATATAACCTTTTTCTTTCATAAGGTGCAGACACCATGGGGCATCCTTTTGCATATGACATTACTATGTTTTTTATTTAAGATGTTTAGTGATGATCATGATCTTTACAGATGGAATAGTCAAGTAAGTGAATCTAGTTTAGGTCAGTTGCTTGAAAATTGAACTCTAAAGATGAAATTTTTGACTTCAAACAAACACCTAGACTATAACAAGTTCTTCTTGACAATCTTAAGAAATTAAATCCGTAAAGCTGAGCTATTCCACTAAGGCAATTGGTTATAGAGGAAACTTGAAAGCCCTGGCCTTATGAGTAGATTACATTCAAACCATGACATTGCTCGAACACTTGGCAATTAGGTGTTTGCTCCACTGCTATTGTCCGGTCGAAGACTTTGTGATAAGATAAACCCTTCAGTGAACTTGATAAAACTGATTATAATGTTAAGTTGTTCCTCTAAAGCAATTATTTAAACGCCCTGGCTTTATGGATTCAGCTAGCCAGATAACGGCAAATTAAATCAAATTTATCTAAGCAAGAAATTTTCGGTAATGATGGACTAAAAGAGTTAAGAAACACCTGTTATAGTCAACTACACACGAGCACTCAAGAATTTCATTTTTAGACCGATATTTTTTGCACTGCCTTTATTATAGGAGCCTACAAAGCTTGAACAAATGGAAGATTTCAGAGGACCGAAATAAAAGGACTAGTAATTGATCATGCTAGTTGCGTCATTTTGTCCGCACCCAATAGAAATGCTAAAGCATGTTGCGATATTTCAAAAAATGACATTTTGGGTTACCAAAACCTTGGAGAGAAGGCCAACCTAAAGCCAACTCATCCATTGGAACATTTGTCAAAGAGTTGTAACTCTGAAAGCATTAAAAGAGCTCTTGATTCCTTTGATATTCTTTGAACTCACGTTTACAATTTGATTCAATTGCGAACAATATTTTACAATATTTTTATCATTTTTCCCTCCTAAAACAAGAAAAAGGAGAAAAACATTTTTCAAACAGAACAGTCTCAGATATGAAAGGTCTGTAAAGCCCAAGCTTGAAAAAAGGATGGGGCATGATCGATTCCATGGACCAGATTGGCAGACAAAACACGAGGCTCCAGTCCAAGAGATAAAACATAATTCATTCATGTTGTATACATCTTAGGCATACCTAGGTGCATTACATTCATCATTTTAGCATACAAGATTTTTGCAGCTTTTAGAGTCAAGTTTCAACTTCAGGATGAAGGATACTCGATTTGCAAGCGTCGTTAGAGGACGATGGTGGTTGCTTAACTCAGCAGTGAGAAGCTACACCTCAACCGACTGGACATATCTACATATCTCATAACTAATTTCAGATAGGTTCGAGAACAAATTCAGATCAAATCCAGTTCAACTCAACTCAACAATGAGCAGCATGTTCCCAGTTAATATATTCAAGCCAGATTTCAATTCCACAACGGAAGATATTCGACTGTCAGAATTTATCAGTGGGTTTTCCCTAAAAGGGGAATCATTCAAATATCATCTTATTTGGTTCAGAGGAACCACCTGAAGAATCATGATTGGCTTAGACCCGTGAAGGGAAACCATTTTTAAAAAACTTTTTGCAGCATAACTCAAGTCTAGAAGGGTTATCTGCCAACCAAAGACCTTCGAGTTCGACTACGCTCAGCTCCAAGGAACATCATTTGCATCATAGCTTAAGTCGAGAAGGGCTATCTGCCGAAGACCCTTGAGTTTGATTACGCTCAACTTCGAGGGCACATCATTTACAGCATAACTCAAGGCTAGAAGGGTTATCTATCACCAAAAGACCTTCGAGTTCGACTACGCTCAGCTTTGAGGGAACATCATTTACAGCATAACTCAAGACTAGAAGGGTTATCTGTCACCAAAAGACCTTCGAGTTCGACTACGCTCAGCTCCAAGGCGTATCATTTGCAACATAACTTAAGTCGAGAATGGTTATCTTCCAACCAAAGACCTTCGAGTTCGACTACGCTCAGCTCCAAGGCACATCATTTACAGCATAGTTTAAGTCGAGAAGGGCTATCTGCCGAAGACCCTCGAGTTCGATTACGCTCAACTTCAAGGACACATCATTTACAACATAACTCAAGGCTAAAAGGGTTATCTGTCACTAAAAGACCTTCGAGTTCGACTACGCTCATCTCAAAGGCACATCATTTACAGCATATGTCAAGGCTAGAAGGGTTATCTGTCACCAAAAGACCTTTGGAGTTCGACTACGCCCAGCTCCAAGGCACATCATTTGCAGCATAGCTTAAGTCGAGAAGGGCTATCTGCCAAAAGCCCCCGAGTTCGATTACACTCAGCTCTGAGGGCACATCATTTACAGTATAACTCAAGGCTAAAAGAGTTATCTGTCAACAAAAACATTTGAGATTGTTTCCTTGAAACAAATTTTGTCTCTCTTGAGACAATTTCTCTTTAAACAAATTTTGTCTCTCTTGAGACAGTTTCCCTTAAAACAAATTTCGTATCCCATGAGACAGTTTCCCTTGAAACAAATTTTGTCTCTCTTGAGATAGTTTCCCTTTAAACATATTTTGTCTCTCTTGAGACAGTTTCCCTTGAAACATATTTTGTCTCTGTTTAGACATTTTCCCTTGAAACAAATTTCGTCTCCCTTGAGACAGTTTCCCTTGAAACAAATTTTTGTCTCTCTTGAGACAGTTTCTCTTGAAACACCAATCTTTGAATATGTTTTTCTTGAAACAAAATTTTGTCTCACTTGAGACAATTTATCTTGAAATAAAAAAAACCTTTGAAAAATGTTTCTCTTGAAACACAAAACCTTTGAGTTCGATTTCATTCAGCTCGAGGGCCTATTAACTACACGGTGGAGTCAAGAAACTATTTTCCAGTTGAATTTTTAACCAAGGTCTTTATCCGAGAAGAAGACCGGAGTTGACTACAATTTGGCAATAAGAAGTCACATTCCGATTTAAATTCTGAATTATGACCTCAATTCCATATCATTTCAAGGTGGACTCGACAGGGTGACGGAGGAGCCATCCGCTACTCAATTCGACATGGAGTTATTCTTAATTTAACTTTCAGAATCAATTCTCAACTCCATCGAACAAAAATTTGTGTCTTTTTATCTTTGTCCTATTTTTCGTTCCATGAAAAAGGACAAAGAGGGGCAGCTGTAGATACTAATTTTCGTCTGTATTTTTTATAATATATAATATATGTATCATATGATATGAATACTATATTATATACTATAATTATAATAAACATATATTAATTTTTTTTTCGATTTGTCTTCAGGAACAGACCCTAAGCCTATTACAAATAAAAACACGCCCGTAATCCAACAGTGGACCCAACAACACACGCAGCCCGGATCCAATTCCTCAACCCGAAGCCAACCTGGAGCATCCAGAACCGGCCTGCTGGAGTGACCCATATCGTTTAGGGTTGTTGAAACACTAACCCTATCTCTTAAACGGCGCATGCTCCCTTCTCTCCCCCTGCGCCACTTTTCACGGTAGTACACCCCAACGACGAAGTTTCTCATCTCCGCAACGTCCGGCGCAAGAAAGGCAAGCCAACAAACAACAAGCACCAGTGTTATACTCAGAATCAAACGCTCAATATACCCTAAAAATAGGATTTTTTTTTTCACTTATAAATTGATGTAAACCGAGCACAAGGGGGAGGATGGACAAGCAAATATTACGAGACAAATATAGAGAAGAAACGAGAGAAACAAAAACACGAAAAATCACGGGAGGAACAGAGGAAGACTCGAACGAAAACTAGAAAAAAATAAAAAAGGGTACCAGATTCATTCGAAGTTAAAAAGAGAGAACCGTTCGAGGAGATCCATTGGAGAAAACCAGAAATCATTTCTCAAATACAAAGAAGGAGACAAAGAGCCAAGTAAAAAACCTGACCTTTCCATTCGAAGAAGGCAATTTTCGTTCACTAGAGCCAAGAACCTTCAAAAGATCAGGTAAGATTGTGTCTGACCTACCTAAATGTTTTAAAATGGTCGGTGGCGACTCTAACCCAATTCAATTCACGTCGAAGCCCAATTTCTGGGCCCAAACGACAGACGGTTCCGACACACCCTAAATACCATGTGCATCCGCACTGCTCGTACCGTAAGATGGACTTGGTTATATAAAGAAAAAAAGGTGGATAAATTCTGTGAAAATATGATAAGCAGACAATTTACCTTGAAACACCATACTAAGAACAGAGTAGCTGCCATGATAGATATTCCCATTGATCAGAAAAGAGGGGTAGAGAGTTAGCAATTAGAATTTGGTCAAGAAATGTGTTCAACCTTGGAAAGATAAATTTTATTTTATTTTTACCAAAACTGATCATGGCTGATTATGATATTTTCCTTTCAAAAGAAAGATGGGCTGCAATGGCAACACTTAAAATATGACCGAGTGTGGGAAGCATTGCAATTCCCTTTTAATTGTTTCCTCAACAAAATGTACCCACCTTTTAGTGCACTTGGTATATCAGTAAGACTAATGCAAATCTCTTTGACTTCATGAATTATGAACTGTGTTTCTGGCATTACAATGTATAAAACGTCACTCTCATGCTACTTATCTGCGTATCATCCCCATTGCCATATTTCTGAGTAGATTTCACTGGGATTCATAAGCTTGTTTTCCTCGTAAGATTATGCTCAAAACATGGAAGCTCGTAAGTTCAAAACTATAAACAAAATCTGACTCCTGAACATCATAAGATTAAGCGATAGGGGAATGCATAATTTTACACAAATCTTATTACCAAATTTGCTAGTACATGGTCCAAGAAACATCTGTTATGATGTCATAAACTTATGTTAGGAACATGAAACATATGTCTTCAGTCTTTTTATCGTTTCTGTGTAATAATAATAATAATAATAATAATAATAATAATAATACAAAGAGCTGGAAATCAACATTCTGCTATTGGAAACACAAAACCAATTTTATCTCCAAACCGGTAGCACTTGATGTTAACAGTAGGGATGGGCATTGGACCCGAACCCGACAGGTTTCGACCCAACCCGATCGGGTCGGATTTTTTTTTAAAAAAATTGAGTTCGGGTCGAGTCGAGTTTAGGGTGAAAAATACCCGACCCGAAAAATATATATAATTTTATCTTATATATTTAGGAAGAATTACAATAATACTCCTCTATATATTATTTTTTTCAATTAAGTCATTGTTTTTATTGAATAAAAATAATATTTTTATTATTATTTCGGGTCGGGTCGGTCGGATTTTTAAATTATATATCGGGTCGGGTGAAATCTTGTTTTGGTCGGGTCGAGTTTCGAGTGGAGGATTTCATTTTCTCGGGTCAGGTCGGGTGGACCAAAAACCCGACCCATGCCCATCCCTAGTTAACAGAGTATGGACCCAGCTGCACATAGTTATCCTCTCCACCCACAAAGAAGCACAGAGTATAGAGAGCAAATTCAAATCCAGGGCTCACCCCAACCAATGTACTTGACACAGCTTTACGAACCCCATTCCATACGAACTGAATTGTAAGCAACTGTGTTTCGGAGTCTGGCTACAAAAGGACACAGGTAACAGCTTCAATTTCTTTATAAAGTTGATCAAAGTGACTCTTCTTTTCATGCATGCATAGAAAAAACTTAAAAGACAGGAAACAGGAGTAAAAAAAGTCTAATTTGAACTTCTTTCCCTAGTTCTTTGTAATCTGAGCATCGCACTGGAGCAAAGATTGAAGATGAAGAGACTTACAGTTTCCCCTCGTCTTCGGGGTAATACATAACCTTGATAATCAACTCTTTTCCTTCTTCTAGGTAAAACTGGAAAACGAAATATAGGATTAGGAATAAACATCAATAGAGAAGGAAATGCTGTTTTTAATTGAAAAGCAAGCCTATCTACATGGCACCTCAAGACCAACTTCTTGAAAAAGAAAAAATGTATTAAGGTATGCTTGAGACAATGGTTGACAATGAATTAAAATACTAGTAGGTAGTAATTGATATTTAAATACTTCCAAATATAATGAGGGTATAATTATCACCAATATATTGCAACAAACACTTGAAATTTTTAATGAACCTTTTCTTTTTGCTCGAACGGATTTACACAAATATTTTTCTAAAAGAAGTATTATTTTTCAGTATTGCCTCCAACACAAGTAGATGATATAAAAGAGGCAAGGCCGTGAACTAATGCTAGCAGTAACCTATTTTAACTGAGAAACAAGGAAAAAATACACTAACACACCTGAAGCCAATTGTGGAAGCCAGTAACTTCTCCTCACCACATTGCTTGATTTCCCTAACAAAAACATGTTCAAAAGCAGAAAAGGAACCAAATGTTCTGCCTCGACCATAAAGATCAAACCATAGTTTTGTCAACATTCTTTTGAAATCTTCATAGTTTTCAGACACAATGTCCTTCAAAGAAAGGCACCTGTGAAGATATTTAATAGGTGCAGTTCTACTGATTTCTTCTATAAAAGCAGACTGCTCTTGTTTCTCCTCAGTTGTAACAACTTCTTTGCACCCAGCATTTGGGTTATAATTATCTAAGAGAGCACAGAAACGAGAGAATGTAGGTTTTCTAAATATGTCTTCACTCAGAGAATAAAATAGGCTTTCTTCTGCCATATCTTCCTTCTGGCGAACCCTCTTCCCTTCACCGCAGTCAATCTGATAATCCTTTCCAGGTTCCAGACGGTTAAAATCAAGTTGCCACAGCCTGTTGCAAGCTTGTGACAAGTCAGCAAGTTCCTCTTCTGAGGGTTCAATGCTAGTACCTGTTCCAACCTCATCACCATATTCTTGCTCTCTAGGAAGCTTTTTATACCCTTGCCACTAATCATAATGATCTGCAAATGTTTCATTCATTAGGTATTAGACACAATGATTCAAAAAGAACGAAATAAAAAAAGCGAATGATCACAGAACCCTCTGGCTAAAAAAAAAGGATCCATCAATGAATCCCATAGTTGATAAGAGGGAATTCCCAGTGCACAGGGCTCCTCACTTTGTGAGGATTTGGGGAGAGTCATTTATCTTACGCAGCATTTCCCCTGGCCTTTTCCACTAGTCGAATCCATGAACTTCCAGTTACAAAGGATCAAGTTCACATTGCTACCAAGGATTATGACCTATGATTATCAAACAGAATTCGTCGAAGGGAATTCCAGACCTTGAACTCGTTTGGAGAGAATCTTAGACCTCGTAAACTTTTAATAAACTCTGAATTTTATTTTTGTTGATGCAAATTAGGCTCTTTAAATAGAGGTACATACATTGTTAGAATAAAAGACTTACTAAGCAAGCAAACCTACAAAGTAAAAGCTTCAAAGACTATGAAATACTAATAAATAGAATCTACCGATAGTAATAAACTCGTTCCTAATAATTCTCACAATAAAATAGTAACAAACTGGTTCAAATAAACTAATAATTGACTACTAATAACAAACTGGTCCTAAAACCATAAAATAATAACAAAGTGGTCCTAATAATTCTCAGCATCATGCCTGTGTAGCGGACAAACTCATAACACGACAATTTGACATGTCAAAAGATAGAGAAAGAGTAGTGAATGCACCTTCTGTGGTCGTCTTCGAGGCTTTCTGCCAACACTTTCCCAGCCATCATTATTCTCCTCTTCTTGATCCGTTACGCAAAATTTAATCGGGTCAACCAGAGCATACACAAAAACAATTTAATTGAAACAAAGATAAAATACAACAGTAAATTAAAAGCAAGAGGCAACCTTCCGGTTCCACTCATTTCGGTTATAAGCATGTCGCTCATCACGCTCATCCTTTGCATATTCCTCATACTCAGTCTGCATTCGAGGTTTATAGATATTTGATTACAAGCACAGATTTAGATTTAGGATAACAATAAAAAAAAACTCAAATATTCATCAACAAAAACAAAGAGTTAATGAATATAAGCGGCTTTAAAAATCGTACCCATGAGAAATTTTAAATTTACCTTTTGGTGTCTCCTGGAAGGTCTTGAACCCGAAACCTCCCAGGCCTCGTCATCCTGTTGACTCGGTTCCTACGAAATCAATAAAATTCCCGGCTTTAAGAATAAAACAGTGAATAACAACTTCAGATCCAAAAAGACTGAATATCTATTTATAAAACGGAAAACCTGTTTTCTCCACTGAGACGGAGGACGACGATCTTCGTCATCCTAATCCCCTGACACCACCTGCGCCCAGCTGGATCGGGAAGACCAATGAATGTTTAAAAAGAGAAATAATACATTTATATTCTTTTAGATGGTTAAAAATATAAAATAAATAAACTTTAAGATCTCTCATAAAGGAAAGGAAAATAAATGATCTGATTAAATAAATTTTTTATTATTATCTTTACATAAATAAAATTATAATAAACTTTAAGTAAGTAAAAAAATAATATTTTTCATAAATTATAATCACAAGTATTAACTAATAACATTGTGATATACTGTTTTTCATAACAAGTTTATTGTATTCAGAATACTTTTTGATACACAGACGGTGTAAACTGAAATTTACACTCTTATTGTGCTTAACCGTTGACTTAATAAAAAAATAATATTATACGATATAATAACCGTTTTAATCTTTAAAATGTACACATTCTATTAGACATAATTCGAAATATTTTAATAAATCTTCAATATTTTGAAATTCTATCAATTTTGGTCTTTATTTTATTTTAAAATTATTATTAGTTAATAGATTATTTATGAAATCATTAATAAATTTATAAATAATTAACAAATTAGTCAATTATTAAGAAACTATTAAATTGATTAATAATTTAATAGGTTAATTGACTCACTAACAGCATCAATCAACGGTAAATCAGTTAATATGTTAAATTTAAAGAAAAACTATTTCAGATACTATTAAATTTTAAAATTGTTTTGTTCAATTAATGATAATATTTTTATTTATTTATAAAGATTAAATTGATAAAAAAAAATATGCGTGAGATTAAAAAATCATCCTATCCGTTTTTTTATAATTATCATACTAGTAATTAACAATTAAGTATATATAAATCATGAAAGGATCAAGATTTTTAGATTAAAAAATATAAAAACTTAAATTTATAAAAATAAGATATAAAGTTCAAAACTTAAATAATACATAAATCTTTAAAATATTTAAAGATTGATCATACGTATTCATTATTTATATCATGAGAAAACTTGAGGAAGTTCTCTCAATTTTTTGTGTTTCCTTTAATCTTGTGGTTGTATCGGGAACAATCAGAATTGGTTGTTTTGGATTTCTTTCTACTTTTATTTATTTATTTTATTAATATAAGATGATTACTAGATTGTATCTATTTGATGAATGTTCAAACACCCCTATAAGCATTGTGATCGAGCCCGAGACCTCAAAGGATAACAATCTCATTCATTTGGCAATAAACGCTCAAATACCCCTACAAACGTCGTGATCAAACCTGAGGCCTCTAAGAATAACAATTTCTCTTTAACCATTGAGGTCGGTTAATTCGTGTTACTTTAATTTATCTAATTTAGAGCCAATGTGAAACTAAAAACCCCACAATGATGGAGATTTATGGGATTGGTGTACAAGGAAAGAGGCCAAGGAAATAAAACCAAAATCAGGCCTTTTATCACTTTCTTCCTCCATAGAGTGAATTTTGCATACTCTCTAACCTGTTCTTTGCCTGCAGATGATTCCTACTCTTTCTGAACTAATTGTAAATTTTACTTTGATTTCTTTCTGTTAGCATCTTTTAATGTTTTAGTTTATGTAAACACTATAATGGAGCACTCCATTTTTAAGTTAAATAATCAAAGCCAAACCAACCTCAAATGGATAAACACCAAGAGATATTACAAGGTTCTTGTTTCAGAAAATTTTATTCCAAGCTCTGAAAAACAACAAATTAGGCATCTTCAGAGATCTCAGTCATTTGATGATCATCAATACATACAAAACAGGAAGCAATCTGACAAGAAGTCTAAGGATCAAACAAAGTTGATTAAGAAAACAATTAACCTGTAATAGCAGAATTCATAGCACTGTGAACGTCGACACCTATTTGGGCTTCAGCTTTCTCCAGATCAGTTGAAGCCGAACTAAGCTTTTGGGTAAAGTCCGCCAGACCCTTCTGGACCAAGGCAGGATCAAGGCGGTCGACTGGCACTGCTTCCACGGCAATGATATCAGCAATAGAGTTGGCATGGATAAGAGCAAAGCCGCTGCTGAGGAAATACTTTGTTACATCATTTCCTTCATGCACCGACAAGATCCCAGGTTTGAGTTCAGCAATTGTAGGGACATGTCCAGGCAATACACCCATCTGTCCGGTGGTTGCTGGAACTATTACCATGTCAACCTGATAAATATTAGATGCACTAAAAATCAGAAACTTGAGAATATAATGTCTCTGAAATATGAAATTTTTATTCAAACCCCACTTTCTAGCCTTTCCCTTACCTCAAAAGATACAAAACATTTCTATATTAAATGCAAGAACCTAATTCTGGTTTATCATTGTTGAGAAGATTATTCTAGGCCTGAATGGTTTATTTGGTTCCCGACCATAGCTTATTTATCAATCTTCAATGAACAAAGTTAAAAGGAAGAGAAAGCACACAAAATGCAATAACATTTTCAAGGATCAGAAGGCTCAAATTACAAAATTACAGAAGAAGATTGGAGCTGCATAAGATTGCTTTGTAACACCAAATTCTATTCATAAAGGATTTAAAAATGCTTTGGTTTACAAACATTCCCCAGTATAGATGATGATCGGGCTACATTTTGATAAATTAATCGATTTATCAGACCAAAATGTAAAAAGACTCCAATTTTTATTTAGTAATTTTCCAGACATGATCGAAGTGATAATGGTCACCATGCTAAAGACATTCCATGATTCAGTGATATCTCACAAAAGAAGATACATTAGAATCATCGAGCAAAATAACGGGCAATTCTATCACCCATAGAATTGATAAGACTATTAGGTCTGTCAAGAATGCATGATAGATAATGGATTCACTGTTTCCATCAGATATACTTCATAAAATAAACTAAAATAATCAAATTAAACAGCCGATAAAACAAATTGAAGAAGATACAGAATGCATAGAAGTAATCACTTCTCGCCCTTCAAAAAATTTAAAAGTGACCAACAAATTGATTTAAAAAAAACAGCAAAAACAATCAAAGTTCCAAGCTGAAACAGACAATCGGATACTGTATTCAAATCTTAAATCCTTTTTGATAACCATTATTAATTCAAGGAACAGAGAGCCTCAAAAGTCAAAATGACCAATCAAATTTAAAGAATAAAGCATAAATCAATAAAAAAAATCCCACCAAATCCAATTCATAGCAAAATCCAGATGCCAAACCTACACCCATAAATCACACGCTAAAGATCGAAGCAAGAATTGGGGAAAAAGCATTTTCTATTTAAAAAAGGAGGAAATAAACCTCTTTTCCGGAGAGCTCAGATGCGTAAGGAAGGACGAAGTTAACGGCGAGTTTAGAGGGGATAGAAGTAGGGGTAGCTGGGCGAGGGGTCATGAAGGACGAGGGAGTCTTGGGAGGGTCTAGGTTGGGAACCACTTTGGTCCATGAGTCGATGAAGTTGGAATCTTGAGTGGGAGTGGCCGGTACATCGGAGGAAAAAGCTCGACTCCCCCTCGATGTGGTGGTTCGAGCCAAGAGGCGTGACGCTTGCCGGAACATGATCTGAGTGTTGCTTCGGTTTTCCTTCTGGTGGCGGTGGTTTCGGCTGGATCGAGGGAAATGGATTTTGTTTTTCCTGCCTCTGTTTACATTTACTGTTTCTGCTAGGCTTTAAACGATATTGATCATTTGAGTAAATCCAAAACGAAGCTGTCGGCCCAAAATCATATAAGGAAACGCCCATGAAATTTGAAAATCCAAGACTCATATAACCGTTGGCCTATAAAGCCCTCATCGTGGGATGAAAAACAAAACAATAACAGTATCAGAGTCAAATTTCAATCTTGGGATATGTGGGTTATGGGCCCACCACGTTTCCGCTGCGCCACTCTGATGCGTTGGTGAATTCTTCTTTAAAATTTAGAAATACAATCTACCTGTGAAGATTTGATTAAAGGTATAAACTATATAATACGCGTTGTTCTGATTTATTGATATTTGATTGGAGGCATAAGGCCTGGAATATAGCGGTTCTTGAAATTCCACTAAATAATCCTCAGGTCATCATTTTGGTTTGTTCTAAAGTACCTCCTCACATGCGCAATTGTTCTCGACATCCCACTAAATTTGTAGAATGTTTGTGCTAATGCTACAGTGGAAAAACTGACATAGGTAATATATCTGACAGAGATGTAGCATTTCACAGGGAATATATGCGAAACTCTTTACTGAACATGACATTCAAACCAGTAGGGAAGGGGAGCAAGCAACAGCACAAACAAAATTATCATTTAAATAAAAGATAAAATAACCTCAGTGACCAAAAATGACTTATAATATACGATTTTAACCAACTTTTTTTGGATTTACCAAAATGACCAACTAAATCGTAATACGATCGATAATTCGCAACGCGATCTCCGGTATCGCAAATCAGTTTCCAGATTCGCAACGCGATTCTGACTATCGCATTGCGATTTCCCAAATTCGCGTTGCGATTTTTCTAATTCGCAATGCGAATACGTAAATCGCAACGCGAATTTGGAAAATAGCAATGCGATTACGTAAATCGCAATGCGAATTAGGAAAATCGCAATGCGAATACGTAAATCTCAATGCGAATCTGACTATCGCAATGCGATTTACATAGCGCCATTCGTATTAACTCGTATTTTTTTTTCAAATTCCAAACACGAATATATTAATATATCGGAAACTGAACCGTCCACAGTATATCCCGTAATCGCAACTCATAACCTAAAACCTAAAATCACAACTCAGTCCCATCTCCATCTCTCACTCTCTACGGCGAAATCCGTCCCCATCTCCGGCGAAATCCCTCACAACCATTCACGGTCAGAAATCCCTCACAATCATTCAGAAATGGAAAATCAACATCCGAATGTTAGTTTTTTTAATTATTTTTATTTAGAAATTTTTGCATTATTTTAGGTTTTTCATATTGAAATTGATGATAAGTTTACTGGTAATTTCAATAATAGATTAACCATTTCACTTAGATTTCTTATTAAATTCATTCGATTGCTGCCAATACAACTAAACTGTTTAGTCTTTAACCCTGTGAAGTTAATATTTGTCTTTGTTTTGTCTTTTGGTTGAAGTAATGCAGAAGAAGAATAGTTTCTAAACTTAAAATCGCAACATGAAAATAAAAATCGCAACACGAAAATGACTATCGCAACGAGAGAATCGCAACGCGAAACCAAAATCGCATTGCGATTTTCATTTCTATCTCGTTGTGATTTTAATTTCGCGTTGCGATTCTCTCGTTGTGATTTTAATTTCGCGTTGCGATAGTCATTTCCGCATTGCGATTTTCATTCTCTCGTTGCGATTTTCATTTCAACCAAAAGACAAAACAGTGTTGCAAATTTTAGTTTCAAAAATAAACTACTATTTATGTTTATTATTTTTGGTATATCTTCACAGTGTAGTTTTTGGTATATCTAACTTGGTATGTTTATTGTTTTTGTAGAATTTTTTTTCGGTTTCATTGACATTAAGGAATAAAGTTAGCCTAGCCACTACAATTGCTTCGAAGCTTTCACTTGCACAAAGAAAATTGTTTGAGAAAACCTGCTTCGGGCCATGGCTGAGAGTACAACATGCGGGTGGAGATGTTAATTTGACCCATTTGTGGCTTTAGACCACGACTAGCGATCTACCCGACAGTATACAACGTGGTGAGGAAATTGTGGTGGAACCATTAAATTTTGAGCACCATAAACTGGGGTTGAAAAACTTAGTTGATTACTACCCGCTACTGACCCAACTTCACTACTTCTAGGTTCAGCAACATATAATGTAACATCATCACTTGAAACACTAATGTAAGCAATGAATCGTTCAACATCTTCATTGTCGGTTAACAAATAAACTTTACCATTTCTCTGATAAGATAGCCTAAATCCACTTAGGGGCTCTAATTCAATTTATTTGCAACACGTAACATTAGAGTTTCATAAGTTAACTTTTTTAATGACAGTTTTAGTTGAAGATTCATGGGTAAAGGCATATATTGTAAAACACCATGAACATTCTCCCATGACCCTCCAAAATACAAATCTATCCAAACATGATCAACATTAGATGATTTCATTATTGTAAATTAATTTACTAAACAAACGAGCTGCGAAACTAAAACCTGTTGCCGGATGGGGAAGGATGTCGTTGGATATAGGAACGGATGTCGCCAGAGAGAGTGATAGATGGAGATGGAATGAGTTGCGATTTAGGGATTTAGGTTATGAGTTGTTGCTGCAGCGTAGTTATATACCCAAAACATTTGTGTTGCGAAATTAAAACCTGGTGCGAATTCAGAAATCGAGTTGCGAATTTGAAATTCAGTATTGCGATAGTCAGAATCTCGTTGCGATTACGTAAATCGCAATGCGAATACGTAAATCGCAATGCGAATACGTAAATCGCAATGCGATTACCTAAATCGCAATGCGAATACGTAATCGCATTGCGATTTATGTAATCGCATTGCGATTTACGTATTCGCATTGCGATTTAGGAAAATCGCAACGCGAATTTGGGAAATCGCAATGCGATAGTCAGAATCGCGTTGCGAATTATCGATCGCATTGCGATTTAGTTGGTCATTTTGGCAAATCCAAAAAAAGTTTGTTAAAATCGTATATTATAAGGCATTTTTGGTCACTGAGGTTATTTTCTCTAAATAAAAATATGTTTAATGTATGCAAGGCCTTCAAACTATTACAAATAGTATGGTCCCTGATTTTTTTTCTCACTCAGATGACTCTTAAACTCAAGAAAAATACTAATTTGACTCTTTAACCAATAAAAGTAAATATTGATAATTACGACACTTTTGTGGCAGTCCACAATGTTGATGTAGATCATCATGTCAACGTCGTAACTGCCAATGTTCGAATCTATTGGTTAAATGAGTCATATTGTTTTTTTTTCTTCATCAGATTAAGGACTATATTGAATATTAAAAGGTTCGTGGGTCACATTGATTTTTTTAAAGTTTCAGGGACTCGGATACAATTAAATAAAAAATTATTGTTAGAAGATTTTCACTCGTGTAAGTTAATTTAAAAACTTAAATCTCACAAACAACCAGTTGTTTTACTGGGTTGAGGCACTAGATCCCTTAAGCAAGGTTGGGTGTTCGATTCCTGAGATTTGTAAATGAAGCAAACTGTGTTGTGAGGGTTGCTCTCGCCTTTGCAGTACCCGATCTTTATTAGTTGATCAATAAATTAGATACCGATAATTAAAAAAAGGTTTAATACCAAAACAAGTGCCCAAACTATACATTTTTTCCCCGAATAGGTGCCTACAGTATTTTTTGGCCCATCTAAGTGTCTAACGTTACAAACATGACCACTTTAGGTGTCCAAAGACGCAACGGTCGTTAGTTTTCACTTTTAAGTGACACGTGTCACAATATGATAATTTTAAAATTTATTTTTTCTTAAAGAGTATTAAAATTATTATTATATTTATAAAAAAAACATAATTTCTTTTAAATTATAAAAAAGCCTCGAAATCCCTAAAATTCTAAAATCCCAAGACTAACCCGTTGTCGTCGCCCTTTCTAGCAACGATCACTATCACCGACGTAGTCCCTGCCATCATCCTAGTTATACGCTGATGTAGTTGTCGCCGATTAGCGATCAGAATCGTGTGGGATCACAATTTTCATCCTAGAGTTCTCAGGGTATAAAATGTCGATTTGTCGTCGATCGACCGTCAATACGTAACGATTTCATATGGGTTTTGGTCGCTAAGGGGAGGTGAGGTCGGGTGGAGCTTCGTCCACAGCGAAGGACGGCGGTCAGCGTTGGTTTGGGAGTTGAAATGAAGGTTTTCAAAGTTTTAGGGTTATTTCAAAATTTATGTGTTTTTATTTTAAAAATATATAATTTTATTTTTTTTAGTTTTATATAAAATTTTTAAAATTATTAGATTGTGACACATGTCACTTAATGAAAGAAATTAACGTCGTTGACGGTCTGGGCACCTAAAGTGGTAATGTTTGTAACGTTAGGCACTTAGATGTGCCAAAAAATACTTTAGGCATGTATTCGAGGAAAATTTGGGTATTAAGCCTAGAAAAAACTTAAATCTTGTGTTTTTATATTTTTAGAATTTTCAAAAATATTTTAGTGAAAATACTGAAAATGTGTTTTTTTATGTTTTCAAATTTCTAGTTATTTTTTTTTCATTTTCTAATAATCTTTTTTTAATTTTACAACCAAACTGGTTTTATTCAACTTTTTTTATTTTTTATAAAAATAAAAATAGCTCATAGAACCAAACACATCTTAAAACTCTCTCACATATAATACAATAGAAGGCCTCACAAAACCACAAACAATTAAAGTTTAAGTTTGCTATATATAAACATGTGTTGGTTTGAATATCAAGTCTCTTTGTTTCTATCTTATATTGCATAAATACAGAAAAATAAATTTGTTAGCACTGAAATGATAATAACATAATTAAATAAGTGAAAAAATCAATAATTATATCTTGCTAGAACTGCTAACTTAGAAACAAATTTATCTAAATGTGTGTAATCATTGTAATAGACGTTCGTCTCCTAAAATTAATAAATCTCTCTTAGAATTCGTATACCT